ACTCGGCCTACGGCCTCATCCAATTTTGTCAGTCCTCGGAATTTTCCTCGTCCAATTATTTCTTAATTGGACAGCATGGAGTCCTATTACATATATAAATAAATAACATAGTATCATGAGCTATAAAGGCATTGCAGGTTGCTGAGATGAATTGTGTTGTACAACAGCTTTTGGATGAGGTAGACTGGGGAGACACATAATTTTTGGCACAACATTCAAGATGCATGCTCATATACTCTTGAAAAACATGCCTTGGAGTTGTGAGAAAATTTGCCGGAGGGGTGTTATGCTATGCAAAGGCATTGCCAAATGCTGCAATTTGTTATGAAAAGTAGAATTGACTAATACTTCACGTAATGCTATGCACAGCAAAAATGAGAGGGAGGACATGGGAGGACACAGCTTCCATTTTGGTCTAATTGCTAAGAAGCCGAGTTATGAGTCACTTTATAACTTTTTTTAAAGTTGGAAAAAGTATGATTCACCTTAAATATGAGAAAATACTGTACTGTATGTAAAAGAACAAAAAAAACACAACCACAATACACATTTTTGCACTAGCAAACACACAACCACACAGAATATGAGCATGAATTTAATATGTGCTTATAATGACAAACCCTTTATTTATTGATTATTTAAGGACGGTGCCTACTAATTGCGACCCATTTTTACTTTTTTCAAATTGTGCCAGTCATTTAAATCACCCAAGAGGCCAATGGAATCCGGGAGGTACCCACACATCTAAGCGAGATAATTGACGTTAAGCACCGATGACATAAGCACTTTTTTTCACAAGGGAAAAAATCATATTTCGAAATTGTTTTGATAGATTTTATTTGAAAATTGTTTCAAATAAACAACAAGTTGTGTTCTTTATATCAAATATTCAAAAAAATTTGTATCATATAAAAAAAACAATTTTTTAAACCAAATTTTGCCCTCAAAAGTGTTAAATATGGTTCTGAAGGGATACTACATTTTTGCTTACATTTGCATCCAAAACCATTTTTATATTAGAAAGCTAGTATAAAACGTTATCTAAATATTTCTCTTATATTTTGGATAAAAAAAACTGGGGGTACCCACAAGTTTTAAAAAGTTATGATTCTTTAAAGTATTTTTTTTGAGGATAAATCGGGTGCTAAAAGCGTGACAAGCGTGACGCAGGGTTACGAAACAGCATGACCAGCTCTGCTTTTGGCGTGTTTGCAGCAACTCCTTCCTCTCCTCGTGGTTTTACAAGCAGGAGGAAAACTGAAGGAAAAGCAATATTTCAAGCCTTCAAAGAACTTATTCAGAAAACTTATTCAATTCGAAGAATAATAATTAATTATTACTTCCTGTGTAGAAGAAAAGATTTCCTTAAGCAAATGGTGTGTAAAAGTATTTTTTGAAGTCGGAAAAAGGACTGCTTTTCATGAATGTTTCACGCCAGTCGTGCATGCAAAGCAAGAACCAGACAAAAACTTTTGTAAAATAAAAACTTACATTCAGTTTAACTTCACTTGCAAGAGATAGATTTAATAAATCAAAATATAATTTTTTTTTGACAGTATGCCTTTTGCATGAATGTTTTTGAATATATTTTTTAGCGAGTGAAAGACAGTTTATATAATACGGCGAGGTCTTTCAACTACAAAAGTCAGTTCATTTTATGTAATTATACTCGAAGGAAAACCTAAAATGAATGGTTGATATTTGGGGTAATGTGCGATTCCTTTTCAATTTTCATTTAACTTTAAAACAAAGCTTATCTGTATGGAAATATTGAAAAAGTTATTTTATTATTCACCGATCAAAGGCGATCAAAACTGCTTTTTCTAAAAAGTAAAAACACATTTTTTTGCCAAAAACACCTGAATTCTTAAAGATTACTCTGTGATACATCTTTGATTACATAAGAAAATAGTTATTGCTGTTGTTCTTGGTCTTAAATTTGGCCCAAGCCAACGTTTTTTGTACCTTCAAGTGTTTTGCTTTTGAAAACCGCGGGAATCCCTCGATGTAGATGCGCAGTAACTGCGCGCACTGACAACAGTAGACACCGTCATTAAAGAGCAACTTACCCCCCAAAATGACCCATTTTTAAGAGAAAGTACATCAA